AGCTGGGACTACAGGCATGCACCACCATGCCCGGCTAATTTTTTCTATGTATTTTTAGTTGTCCGATTAATTTCTTTGTATTTTTAGTAGAGACGGGGTCTCGCTCTTAGTCTGGTCTTGAACTCCTGAGCTCAAACAATCCGCCCGCCTCGGCCTCCCAGAGAGCTAGGATTATAGGCGTGAGCCACCGCGCCCGGCCCAGCACAAAATTTTTGACCTTTTCCAATTGCAACCTGGGCCAGTTCACCCTTCCTTAGGCAACCTGGTGGTCCCCCATCCCAGGAGGTCACCAAGTTGATGCTGAACTTATTGGGGCATCTGATTGGCAGAGCATGCGATAGCCGAGAATGCCTGGGCTCTAGGTATCTTCCCCCCTTAGCCTCCCTGGTAGCTGGTAGCTGGGACTGCAGGCATATACCACCACGCCTGGCCCTCCTTGCCTTGCTTTTCCAAACATATTTTGGGCACACTACTTTTTTCTCAGATGCCTGATCTTTTTTTTTTTCGAGACAGTCTCTGTCACCCTGGCTAGAGTGCAGTGGTGTTGTGGTAGCTCACTGCATCCTCAAACTCCTGGGCTCAAGAGATCCTCCTGCCTCAGCCTCTCGAGTAGCTGGGACCACAGGCACTCGATACCACACCCAGCTAATTTTTTTTCTATTAATGTTTTTAGTAGAGACGGGGTCTCGCTCTTGCTCAGGCTGGTCTCGAACTCCTGAGCTCAAGCGATCCTCCTGCCTCGGCCTCCCAGAGCGCTAGGATTACAGGCGTGAGCCACCTCTCCCGGCCCAAGATGCCTGATCTTAAGCTCAGCAAAATTCCTGTTCTTAAGGGTTTCTGGCACAGAGGAGCTATCTTTTTCTTCTCATCAGCACCCTCCAGGGTTCCAGCTGGAACAGAGTAAAGATACTTTAGAAACAGTACTTCTAGTAAGCTCACTTATTCTGCTCAGATTTTTGTCTTCTTTTTTCTTGAATTCTGTCTCTTGGACCAGAGCACATCCCACCAATTCACCTGATGTCTCAGAAAAAAAATGATCACACAATGAAGCACCATCGTCCCAGAGTGGACCATCAATCCCCACAACAAATGATGTATCTGAGAGGCCCCGGTGAACAATACATCCTTAGAGGTGAATCACACACACCAAAGAACAATTTATAAGCCATACCTTAATCTTCTAATAGTGTCAGAAGCCAATTTAAAAAGAGCTACTAATCTGCTTTCTGTTTCTCTGGATTTACCTCTTCTGGATATTTCACGTAAATGGAATCATACAACATGTGATCTTTTGTGTCTTGGCTTCTTTCACTGAGCACACTGTTTAAGCTTCACGCACAGTGTACCTGTATCAGTGCTTCATTTCTTATTTACTGTATCTGTTTGTTCATCTGTTGACGGGCAGGCTAGGGCAGGAGGAATGGGGAGTACGTGCTTAAGGGGCTTCGTTTTGGATCGATGAAAATATTTTGGAACTACTAAGAGGTGGTGTTTGCACAACATTGTGAATATACTAAATACCATTGCTCATTTTAAAATGGCTAATTTTATGTTATATGTAAAAAAGAAAAAAACATGGAAACACTAAGAAGTGTCAAAGTTCAGTTATCAGAGGTACAAAGACCTGCTTTTCCTCAAGCTGCTACCATCGGCCCAGTCCAAGGTGTTAAACGCACATTTTTATCTTTGGGCGCAATTTTTTCCTGTCTTTTCAGGTTGAAGATATGACCAGCTACTGTAGGTTGACCTCCGGGACAGCCTAAGTGCCATAGAAAACTTTTTCTGTTAAGAAAAAAAATCTCTGCATTCCATGTCTTTTCTCCAGGTAGCTGATGCCTTTTTGCTTTTCAGAGTCCTTGTTATTTTAATTAAATGTTCTCAGAAGTGCTTGCCTGCCTCAGAAAAAGCACACCTCGGCCGGGC